TTTTAGAGGTGTAGTTACATACACAACCTCATACTCCCTGTTTTTTTTAATTTTACTAACAACTCCCTTGCTCCATTCAAGACTTATTTGGTTTTGCAAAAAACACAGCTTATTTTTTTATATGTATTACTTATAGCATCTGCATTTATTTAGCGTTTGCAAGTTGCCATCTTTCTTCCATAAAATACTGACAGTCACTGCCCATGTATCATCACCTTCGCACTCTGCCTCACACCATTGCTGGCCCATCTCCTGTCTTTGCAGTGTGTGGTTGTCTGGATGAGGCGGAGGGGGGAAGACAGCAGTCAGACCACTGCATATGTTTCCAATTCCCCCTTGCAGACCTTCCCTCTCCTCTTTTGGCCTCCTATTGCCCTCCCGCCTCTCCTCTCCTTTCCTCTCCTCTCCTCTCTTCTCTGTGTGTCTTTCTCCCTCCACGTCCACCAAATTGCCCATTAGACTTTCTATTTGTCTATCTGCCGGCCTGACTGTGGCGTGGCAGCCAGCTAAAACTATCCTCCAGTCCATGCCAAGTACACCATGGGAGACCACTTCTAACATTTTATACTACATGGCTGCCAGGGGCCGGCAAGGTCCTCTATTTTTTGGGATAATGGATATGGTACCATCCACAAAATACACTCCAAACAGAAAAACACCCTGTCTGGTAAACAGACACCACTTTTTGTGTTTTTGTGTTTGAGGAATAAATGTAAATATGTTTAGCTGATTTGTACAAAGAATTATATTAAGCGACAATATGACATCTGGTTTTTCCTAATGTTATATATATGTCAGTGCTTTTTTTAAATGTCTCTTTTAAGCGACATTTGAAAAACAAAAAAGTCATCTGTTCCAAGAAAAACTGACTGATCAACCTCACACATTTCCAGTCCAAGACAGTGACCAAAAGAAGTCCAAACGATGCGGTCAAATGCTTAGCTAAACATTGTTATTGCATTCTGTAATGAAGAAAGGAAACCTACAAAACCAAAGGCCCTCTGAGAGAAAGTTATTAATATCCTGTCAGCAGTAAATTAGCTGTACGTGTATATGTCCCTTCTCCCTCTCTTTGTTATGTCTAGCAGTGGTCCTTCCACCACCACTGCTGGCTGAGTGTGTGTCCCCTGTAGCGGTGAGACTGAGACAGCATTGTGAAAAGAAAAAAAAAACTGCTGACAGGAATGGAGAACAAATGGAGCCCATATATAGTACATGTATACATGTGCTTGACTTGTGGAAGGATGATGTATACTCAATACCATGATGTGTTTCTATGTAGTGTATCTATGTGTGAGAGGAAGTAATAAGACCAAGGTTGACATGAGAAATGGTGAAAGGATTGAGATGTGGAGAAACTTTGTCTGTGCCAGTGAAAATACTTTCAGAGCAGGATGAACAAAATGAATGAACAAAAGGTGCCAATCTATGTATGTAGCTACAGTATGAACCAATGCCACACACAGTGAAAGCACCTCTTTGACAGTCATGGTGAGGTCCCTGCGATGACAGGGGTGTTTGCCTGGCTGTAGTGACTGTAGTAGAAAGTAATTAGAGACAGTCTCCAGTAGGTCACAGTTTAGTCTATAGTGGCCTTAAAAGAGACAGAGTGGGAGTGAGTGCACAAAGAAGAAGGAATACGGAAACTGGAAAGAGGATGTAATAAAGCTACCATATCTATATCTTTTACATGAACAGTATATCATATTACTGTGTATAATGTGAAAAGTATCACACACAGCGATTAACCCATAGAGATTTATCACCCGACTATGCAGGTTTCCTCAACTCTTTTAATGGTTTAGTGCATTGTTTTGCTTCCAGGGCTCCAAGCCTGCTCTCATCAACCTCGTTTCAAACAGCAGCAAAAAAATGCTCTGACAAACTGACTGTACACGACCTGCTCAGCTGAAAAGAGAACGAATGTTGGGTAGGCAAAAAGACATCTCCAGATAAATGCTGCTGGGTGTGTAGATGTGAAGTGTTTCCTAAAATATTTGCTGTAGAAATTTTATTAGGTGAAAACGTGTCCGATGTTTTATTTTCACCTGGCTCTGCTGCCCCCAAGTGGCAAAAAATAAATAAATTCAGAGCGCACCCTTTAATGAGCTATTTGTACGTTTTGCTATTGCTACATATAGCCAACATTAGCATTCACAGCCAGTCTAGCAGAAACATGAGTTCAGCATCAAACTTCATTCCTTTACTCAACAAGAGCTGTCTCCAGAAGTGGGAAGCAACCCGAATGTTTACTCTTATTTTGCTTCTTTCCTTTTCTAACATATTTTTCTTGTACTGACGTTAGCATGCTAACCAGCTAACCTACTCTACCTAGCTAGTCTCGTCACTTTCCGATACTGAGTCACTGACTCTATACAGTCTGCCCTGAAGAAGTAGTACTGAAGTAGTAGTGCTCAGAGGGTGTATTATAACCTCTTGTCTTAAACTTATGACTGAAGCACTTGGCAAGGGATAGCTGTTAATGCCAACTCTGGCTGTTTAGCAATAGTAAAACTTACAAATAGGTCCTTTAAATAGAAGTGTAAAAAAGAAGAAAATAGAAGAGCTACTCCATTCATAATGTACATATTAACAATGGATTAAATGACTATATAATGCTTTTAAGTGCTTTATAATATAGTAATTACAATATAATAATATAATTATAGTAGCTAATAGTAATTAGTAACTATAGCTGTCATATAAATGTCATGGAGTGAAAGTACAACATAGCCTAAGCCTCTGGAGTAGAAGTATAAAGTAGCATAAAATGGAAAGTAAAACCTCAAAAATGTATTTAATCAGTGTAGCCTACTTGAGTATGGAGTCACTTTCTGCCACTGTCTGGAAACATAAAACTGGTACATGGGATTTGATAAGCACTAGAAGTCCTTAAATCTGAATTTAAACAATTAGAGAATACAAACTTTAATAGCAAAGAGTTTGGGATTTCAGATTGTCTGCCATAAGTAATACACAGACATATGCACAGCAAACAGTGTGGCAGATCAATTCAGCTTTTAGAGGTTTATTTCCCTGGATGAGGCTCAGACTACATCATGCTCTAACTGTCCAACTTGGTTAAAAATTGCAATGCATTGGAACCCATAGGCTGCGACTGAGGAAGTTTACTCTGCATGAGTGCCATCCCTCAGCGCTGATGTAGGCTCCTGCTGAAGTCTGCATATCCTGCTTGCCGCCTTGTTAACCCAGAATACCCAAATGACTTCCCCTCTCTCGATGTCAGGCCACACTGTGAAGTCATCCATGTTTCCATGTAGCCTAAAACGAGGAGAGAGGAGTTAGGAGGAGAGGAGAGGAGAGGAAAAAAGAAAGGAAAGGAAAGGAAAGGAATCTAGATTGGCTGGAGGACCACTGGCACCACTAATGAGGTGTGCTCTGATGGCATAAATCCTCCTCAGAGAGTGAGGCATCTGAGTGGCTCTGTCCACTAATGAACGCCCCACATACATTATACTCATAACCACATATGGGACCATATCCTGCCCTCCTCAGTTGTAATGTTGCTCCATTTTTCTACACTATGCTTTAATATTCCCCTGACTCCACTTCAAGCGTGGAAAAATCTATAAATAACTGATTAGACTCATTTATTGCTCTTCCTTTGAGGGAAATACAAAAAAAGGCAGAGAAGGCGGGAATGAAGTAGTTCTGCTTTTGCAGGCCACAGAAATGTTAGCTGGGTTTTATCGCTGTTTTACATCACTGTCAGTTCATGAAAATTGTTCTTGCAAAAACCTCACATATGGAAGATTCAGGTTTTAGGAAATAAAAATAGTGGATATCAGTATACAAATGGTTGTGACTGTAGACTACACATAATTTTCACAGTTATTTGCCTAGTAGTAACAGAGACGGAAAACAAATTTGTTAATTAACATTAATATATTGGTAAAATTCTAATTTTTATTTTCATTATTTTGAAGTTTTCTTTGTGGTACCCACATAGTCCGTGAACATGATGTAAATGCTTGGAGCTCTCAGTCTGGTAATTGAATGTCGCCATCTTGTGGTTGAATAAGATGGTTTCTAACTCAGTGCTGTGATTCATGCATGGTGCACAAATAGGAGCAGGCTTGCAAAAGAAAATGCACACATTCATGACATGTAGTAATACATGGTTATGTTTGTGCAGACACTTGCAGAAATAACTGAGCAGCAGATTATTTTCAAGCAGATACTGAGACTTAATTTGGGATTCAGCCATCCATTTTATTGTTTACACTTCTGCATGTCTTGCTGTGACACGTCAAAATGTCTTGTGGGAAAAAAAAACTATTGCGCAAACATAAACTCACATACAAGTGCAAACACATCTATGCATGGACAGACACAGGATAAAAACAAAGCCTGTGTTGATAGCATTGAAAATGTATTTCCCATGTGCATTCTACTAATAACGCCCTATACTGGTGTCACATGGATGTATCACATGTCCACAGTATAGGTATAGATAAGGACAGGGGTTATGATAATCAGAAGTACAACATGGTGTATGATCTGTATTGTAGGGTACATAGTGAACTGCTCAGCTGTAAACGAGATGCTCAGATTTCCTCTGTAATTTCCAAACCAGCTCAGGACAGAAATAAAATGTATCAGAAATTACACCAAAGAGTCCAGTAAAAGGGGGTGACTGACAGTTTATATTTCATATGTGATTTTTCTGTGCGTCAGCCATGATTAAGCCAAAAACAAACAAGCCCACAGAAAAAAAAGAGGACTACATGGGACTCACTACAAGCCCTAACTCCTCTAGACTAGGTAGATGGTATGGTATATGGAAACTTTAATCATAAATCCACAAAGTAGAAAGGTGTCTTCTGACTGGCATGTTGACAGAGTTGCTACTTAATTTCAATTTTGGCAGCAATGGTGCATTTTTAAATATGAAAATGAAACTTTGTTTTAACTTAATCACTCATCAGGTGTAGGAAAATGACAAATGGATATTGATTAAATTCTCATTTCATTTGCAGACCTGAAAAGGACAGAGGCATTGCTCCAGTTTCACGTTGGATTTTCATCATCAGGAGCAGGTAGAGGTGTCAGAATACAGTGTGCCAGCTGATTCCTTAGCTGAAAGTGCAACAAATGCATCTGTCCTTTTTTGCAGCAACTTTATTGTTTTCTATTTTACTAGTATCTCCTGGTTTTTGATAGATCTGAATTTCCATATATATTATTAAATACTTCATATCTCAAGAAGATGTGCAACAGTTAGGTCTGTTGTAGTAGTAGAAAGTATAATAAAAAGTAAAATAGCTATTGAACATTTACATTTTTTAAAACTGGGTCTATGCTGTAGGTTTCTTTAGTTTCACTCACATGATCTAAAAAAACAAAGTGGTCTCTTCTTCTCATGACTTATAAATTGCCACTTAATTGGAGACATTATGAAGAAGAAGAAAACACCAGTGGTGGAAAGTAGCCAATTTAATTTACTCACTTACTTCACTCACTTACTGACTTATTGCCCTTTTAAGCCACTTCATACTTTACTCCACATTTTACAGTAAAATATTGACATTTTTGCTCCATTTATCTGGCAGCTGCAGTTATTAGTTGTGGTTCTCAAACCTTTTTGCCTTCTGACTGCTCACAAAAAAGATGTTGATCACATGTCAGATTTCTGTCACAATCCAAACTTCTCAGATGGTTTAATTTCTGTAACTGTTATTCAATATTTAAAAAAGGGCAGAGATTAACAGAAAAAACCAATGGAATCTAATAAAAACAACCCATGAAAAGAAAACAGTCTGTGTAAAAGAACTTGATTTTCTTCGTTTCCTCTCCCATTAATCATCTTATGACCCTATGTGACCGAATTATGATATCTCTGATCTACGTCATACATTATTTTAGGTTCAGCGCCTTACAAAAATAATCATGGATACAGGGGGACGTCCACCTCTAAAATGCTGTCAAATTCTTCTTTCACACTTTTCCAGAATTATTGGGTACTCACTCCCAAAACATATGTGTGTTATCCCCTATTTGTCCACATTTTTTCCAACATAATTCCACAACAGGTTCTTTCACGTATGAAGAAATGCTAAGAGGTGTGATCAAATACCTGATTATTGAGTTACAGTCAAATTCTTTCCATAATTGGCTATTTATTCCTTTATGAAAATTAGCAGACAGATCTTCCCATATATTATCCTCTATTTTAATATTTAGTACCAGTTCCCATTTTTGCTTTGTGTACAGGGTATTTTGTGAGGTGTCATTTGTAAGCCTCTTACATATGTGATTACTTAATGGGGTACTTTTAGGTCGTTGTGTTGGAAATCATTAACCCTCCTGACAGGGTCCTTTCAACAGGGCGGACTGCATGTGTTTTACTTTGGCGCCCCCTTGCGGTTCGACGATCTTTTCAACACTCTCTATTGTCATTGGTTCAAACTGCCGTCGTTCCTTCCTTGACCAATGGCACCGGCTCCACTTCTTTTTCTCACAGCCTGTTTCGCATGCATGCTCCTCCCCTTTTTGTTACCCCCCCCCCCCCCACACACACACACACGCGCACGCACGCACGCACACACACACAGACACACACAGACATACACATTCACACACATTCACACACATACACACCCCAGCCCCCTGTGATGCCAGCCACTCCATGACTGGGCTTGGACGGCATGTCTGTCGAGGCGGTATAATCTAAAACCAAACCGGGATATTATGAACCAGTCGATGTGTTGACTGAGATGCGACGGCGCATGAATTAAAGGTGATTAAATATGCAGCTTTGTGCATTTACATTTTCTCGCACTAATATTCAGTCGCTTTGCAGTTAGCTGACGGCGCTAACTCTCCTCTCTGTGTAAGCACGGCTACACTGCTACACATGATCATTTAGGTGTTTTTGTTTTGTTTTTTCTCCTCACAAATAATCCGATCATGTCTGTCGTTTCATTTGAAGGCAGTCCCTCTCCACGGCGGGATGAACTATGATCGTCGATAAACGAGCAGAGGAACACGGAGAGACAAATCTGACTCGACATAATAATCCATCTGGACATTGGGAGCGAAGATGAGGACCATGATGGCTTCGATGAAAACGGCACTGTTCGTATTTCTACACTGGGGTGAGTTACAGCCGCGTCTGTGTTGTACCTGTTCACTGGTACAACACAATGACTACAGGGGGGGGCAAAAAAAAAAAAGAAAAAACCGCCGCACCATCTGTCACATGTACATGCATTTGCCTGATTGTTTCTTCATGCCTGCCAGTCAGACTATTCATTTGCAGCATGCATCTTTATTATTTTTGATGATTTAGTCTGCCATCTTTTAGCCAGTGTGCAGCACTGTGCTCATCCGTGGGGCAGTTATCAGCATCTGCCACATCCCTGTGGTCTGCAAGTCAATTTATCATACCCACAACCCAAGTGCAGGAGTGACTGATTCACTGGTTCACTACCAAACCAAAATCACTTGCATACAGTTTGATGGATGCTGAGCCAGTTGGGCCAAAGAAACAGGTGTTTGCTTTGCCAATAAAGCCAGTTCCTGGTATGTCAAGCAGGAAGTCCCCAAAGTTTAAACAACAGCACATTGTAATGGTATTTACACATTTTTTCAGCTATTACATTTTATTCAGTTATACATTTTCAACTATGGACTCTGGTCATTTTTATGTTTTTACCACTTCTTTTATTTCCTCAGTGTGGTCATACTGTGTCTTCATTTGTTTCATGTGAAACCATCATAGCAAAAGTCCTATCAACTATAGATGAAATAGAAATGAAGTTTTGAATCCTGAATATTGAAATTGAGTGACAGCGGTTAGAAAAAAGGAAATAGTACTGTACCTGCTGAAAAGGTGGGGCGTGATTGTAAAATAACCAAACCAACCCAAGGTGCTCTTAAGTTTAAAATAAGTATATCTTTTAGGGCACATACAGGACACACAGCCCAGTTAAAAGACAGTAAAGCTGATATATAAAACTGTACTCTAATATTTTTCCAACAGTGACTTGGCTTCACATTCCTCAACTTATATTTCAGAAGTATAGTTTGACTTAACAGTTCGGACAGAGAGAGAATGTATAAACTTGAATGACGCAGTATTCAATTCCCTCACAGCATTAACAATTATATAAATCATATCTAATAACCAAGCAGACAGGCTTCCTTGGGACAGAATTGTATAGTGGCCCACCACCATGTATCTCTTTGTGGGCCCCCCCCCTCCCCTTTTGTTGCACAGTATATAATCCAGACAGTATTGAGCATTGTGACAAGCTGTGGTGTCCCCCAGCCCTATCAGTCCGAGCCCAACGTTAATTAGGACTTGATCCGCTTAAGCCTCCCACTAGTCTCCCATGTCATTATGGGTGTGTTGCTATCGGGCCGTTACTCGGCCTGTGGGAAAGCTCCAGTTGTTTTTAGGTCTGACACGCTCACACACACACACACACACACAGACACAGACACACACACACACACACACCGCCAAGGAGTGCCAGTACACCCCTGTCTAGTATTTCTAGTTTTTCAGGTATTTACCAGTTTTGGGTGACGTTAATGGGTGTGGTAGTTGGTGCAGTGTCAGTTTGCGGGTGTGTTTATTGACTGTTATGTCAGGATACTCACATCTCATTTGCATTTGGAGATGGTGAGGTTGATGAGGTCATTCCTCCACACCTCCATGCAGATTAAAATCACTTAGTATTCAACCAAGATTAAAGATTTGTACTATTCTTTAACAAAATCTTTTCTTCCAGTTTGTCATGGTGAAAATATAGTTTTAAACATGACGAGGTGTAATAAGTTTATTTAGGAGATTGGCTGTCTTACTTCTCACTTGGTTGAATTTGTTTAATTTAATTAAGTTCCAGTTAATTTGCATTGTGTTTTTATTGTGCAAAACTTCCATAGTTTTGAGTTGGGTCACTCTTAAAGTTAGATTACAATTTTTTTTTTTTTGCGTCAGACACTTGTTAAAATGTTTACTCCTTTCATTTCCATTATCTTTCTTTTATGATAATAAAAAAACAACAACATATGGTTCATAATCAATTAGTAAACATAGCATTCACAAGTGCAGACTACTTTTCTCATCTTGTTGCTTATCCAAACAATTCAAGAACCTCATCACCAGGCTTCAAATAAACATATGACATTGTTTGTGCTGTGAAGAAGTGAAACTAATTTGGGTATAAAAGGATGATATTTCTTTAGCTCTGTTTGTTTCTGTAGAATTTATGTCATCTCAGATTAGACTTACTACTTTGAAAGGAGCATGTTAATATCTTTGGCAAGTACCCTTATCACAAAAGAGCAGTGAAAGCATGAAAAGTTTCAGTGCCTGGGGCTTTGAAAGGAGGTGTCAGCGTTGGAATACCCTAGCTTGGTCTGAGCCCATGTCTTTCAGAGAAATCCAAGGGGAAGTGGGTTTCGAAGGCAGACAATGAGACTCAGTGAAATACACTGATGCTCGGAAGTGAAAGCTGGCTGCCCTCAGCCCTGAGGCACTCACACCGAATATTTTTGCCCATAACCAGCAAACTGAAACTCTGCCATGTTCCCAGACCTCCATTAAACTGTGAAGTGACAGGGATAAAATACATTTTATTTTTCCACTTTGGCTTGAGTGAAATCTTTTCACTCAGTTTCACTGTGATTTGCAGTTAGAAGATATCAGGTTCAGCTCATTCCAATATAACCCACTCAATGACCTTTTGTTTTCTGTTATTGTGATATAATAACACAGCTGTGCACAGTTATCCACAAACCTGACTGAAGTGTGAAGTTTGTCAGTTAGTCATATCTCTGTCGCTGCATTTGAGAAAGGGATGCTACTGTTGTTGTTGTTCAGATGTATATGTATGTACAATTAGTTGATTAATTGATTGGTTGACCATTAGAAGAAAAAAAAAAGCTGCAACTATTCAAGAAAAAAATGCCAAACATGACCTGGTTTCAAATTCTGAATTATGGACATTTTGCTGCTTTTCTTTGTCTTAACCTGTAAGTGCTTCAGTGATAGACTGTTGGCTGGACTGGACATTATAAGTGTGTGAACATGTCACTTTAGGCTTTAGGAAATAAAGGAAAAACTTTTTTTTTATGACAATTTATAGTCCAAACAATAAATTGAGAAAATAATCAGCAGTTGCAGGCAAGAAATGCAGCCAATATCAGCAAATATTACTGCGACTGTAGCAATTTGTGAGACTAGAAAACTGGTTTTGTTCTGTTTTTCAGTGGACTGTTCCTTTAAGTCTCAGCCCCAACAAAAATAATTAGAGAATGAGCGAACAAGTCCACTGAGATGATTGCATTTCATTTATTAAACATGGTGTTGTATTCAGAGGAAACTGGCCCAGCTCCAGCACTAGTGTTTTTCTCCACAGCTATTTACTGTATTGATTCCCTGTTAGCCAGTCATCAGCTCAGGATATTGATCGGTGAGTCCATGCACCAAACATGCTGCGAGGGGAGACCGTGACCCACACAAACTTGACATTGTTACCATCTACAATCTTTCCTGCTTGTAACGTCTTTCATCCTCTTACTGTCTCTCCTTATTTTCCTGTCACAGTGCTCCAGTATGCTGTGTGTCGTGACGTAACCCTTCCCACTGGACCCCTCTACCGTGTGGCAGGGTTCCCCCTCTCCCTGCCCTGTACCGTATCAGGATACGAAGGCCCACGCACTCAGGAGTTTGAGTGGTTCTTGTACAGGGATAATTCCGGTGGGAGGCAGATGGGAGTGGTGTCCACCAGGGACCAGGGTTTCCCATACGCTCCGTTCCAGCCCCGGGTGAGGAGCGGGGAGGTGAGGGTAGAGAGGGACTCTGGGGACATGGTCCGCCTGGTGATCCAGAGACTCCGGGCTGAAGACCAGGGAAAATACGAGTGCTACACACCCAGCACGGACAGCACCTTCCAGGGGAACTACAGCGGCACAGTGACTGTCAAAGGTAAGATATATATATATATATATATATATATATATAGAACTTGTATTGGTCCATATGACAATACTTAAACCCATGTGTGGCTCTCAGCCTCAAGCCCACTGGTTCAGTGCACATGATTTGTACGGAGGAGGAATGAAGTGTCATCCAGTGCAACAGTGCGGCTCGTGGATTTTATTTTATAGGCAGCAGTGGAAACTCATACTTGTCATACTAAGATCAGCTCATTGCTGTTTTTGGTCTTTTTCATAGGATTTGCTAAGAATACAAAAAATAGAGAATATCACAGACTATCCAGACGATCAGCTGACCTCCATTTAAAGCATGGGTTTAAAAAGCTTCTTCCTGTTCCTGTTTTGTTTGGGTTTTTTTTTTTTTTAGCACCTATGGTTGGGTTTTGAACCTTCATTCTTTTTTGGTACAGATGGAAACGTGTTTGTAGCACTGAGGATCAAATCATGTCAAGTATCCAAAGGTGGCAATGAATATCTGGTTAGCAAAATTAGCAATGTTTTATCACGGCTGTTTGTGTTTAGATACCTAATATTTGAGATCAGTGGCTTCATCGGTGTTATAAAAAATGTTTCTTAAAGGTGTCAAAAAAAATACTTCAGGTTTAAGTAACAAATCCCTTGTATTTTGTCACCAACTACTATCACAAAATTTCAAATGATACCCAGCCCTTGTTGCAACTAGATTACATCATCAAAGTTAAGTTGTGATGTGTTCAAGTTCTGTCATGGGGAGGGGGGGGGTTTACCTATGAGAAGATTTTATCAGCAACTTTGCGCTATATCAGCCAGATGGATGACAACGTTAAATGGGTGTTTAACTTGGTACATGACAACATTCCTCACTCTAAGATATTATTTATAGCGACCATCTGGTATTTGTACTCTGCTTTTTCCTTTCTGTTTCTCTTTCTCTCTACAAACTTGTTACACTTACTCTAAGATCCATTCGCTCAGGCCGTCCAAAAACATTCAGGCAATCTTACACCGTCCGTATGGTTACCAAATGTGTTTCTATTCATCATATTGTCTGTGTACTACTAGTTTGATTATGGGATGCCAAATCTTAGTTCTGCAGCTGAGTTAATCCCCATCTCTTCAGTGCCTGAAGCAAAGGGAGGTAAAAGGCTTGGAGTCACTCTCAGCAACCTTATTTCATGATTCAGTGTTCTAAACATAGAAATGTCTAAACAGCACACCGGCAATAGAAATCAAATTTGGCCCCTCTTTTTCCTCCCATCTGGCTCCTGCAGCAGCTTGATGTAATATAATTGTCTGTCTGTGTCTTCTTTGTGCAACCGCAGTGATCCCTGACACACTCCAGATCAGCTTCTCCCGCTCACTCACTGGTCAGCCGGTGCCAGAGGGAGCCGAATTAACACTGACCTGCTCAGCCAGCATCCAGTCGGAGCAGCTCACGCATCTGTCCATCACGTTTGGGAAGCGCGGTGGCAGAGACGGTTCGGGGAGCGGAGCTGGAGAGGAGGTCAGCACCGTTCGAGAGATTATCTCCATCGACAAGATGCTGGGGGTCGTCCCTGGCCGTTCGTACCAGAAGCGCTACGACGACGGAGAGATCACGCTGGAGAAGAGGAACGGGGAGGCCGGGCAGGGTGTGTACGTGATGAAGATGAAGGCGGTGCAGCCAGATGACACCGGCTCGTACTTCTGTGAGGCCTCGCAGTGGATTCTGGACCCTGATCGATCGTGGCAGAAGATCGCACAGAGGACACTGGATATTGGCAACTTGACTGTTCAGCAACTCGGTCAGTGTGACGTAAAAAGTGTGCCAGTGTTTCTGTTGGCATTTGCCAAAACTATGGTAGCATGTAGCAAGTTTCAAGGTCAAACTGTCACAAGCACATTCCACAGCAGCTGATTATTTTGTACTGTGATCATTGTTGCGATAAAATCTTACTGGAGGCAATTTGTGACACAGTAAACCACAGTAGGGAGAGAGGATCATATCATAACGTTGGCTGCTCCGGTTAAAGAGTAAATCGGAGACAATAAAACTAAAACATCTCAAGTTCAGTTTGTACTTGTCAATTCATGGCGCTCGATTCTTTCTCTTTTGAAGCCAAGGAGTGGCGTCAGTCAGCCTGGAGTTGTAGCGCTGTTGAGTATGTTGGACTTCTTCCAGTTTTCAGACTCAAGCCCTGGGTGTTTGTATTCCTTAGAGCTTAACTGAATGTCTAGTTTTGCTGGCAGGCTGACTTAGCAGTTTACTGACTGAATGGATAGGCAGCTGATTAAATAAATGGACACACATTAGTATTTAACTTGTTGCCTTGTTTGTTGGCTGCCTGGATATAGAAAGTGCTGGGGTTTTCTGATTAGCTGCATGGAGGGCTGGATTGACATCTTACTGTTAGAGATGCAGCTGAATATTATTTCCAATATCGGTTAATCTGCCAGTTATTTTCTTCATTTATCGATTAATCTTTTATTCATAAACATAAACACTAGGGAGAAAAAACAGAAAAGCAGCAAATTTTCCCGTTTGAGAATCTGGAACTATGAAATATTTTGCTTGAAAAATGACTTAAAATGGGGACCAGTTAGTTTTCTGTCAGTTGGGTAATTGCAGCTCTGTCTGCTGCCCGGCTACATGACTGACAAGCTAAATGCTCAGCTCTCTCGTTGATTATCTAGCTGGATTTGATAGGTCGATATCTGGCTGGCCGGGCAGCTGGATAGCTGTCTGTTGCCGTGGCTCAGTTTAAATTTTAAAGCGCTTGTATAGATCCAAAGGATTAAGTAATCTTTCCTCCCACCTTGGCCTCAAAGAGGATGACTGTCTTCCTTAGACAGATGTGTCCTTTACTTTCAGACCAGCACTGGAAAGGGAAGTTAACTCTGTACATACATACGCTACATTCTTGATATGTTCGCTCATAGGAAGTGCTGTTAATGTTTTACTTTCACAGCCTCATCTTTGTACGTGATGTTTTCATACTTTTGATTAACTTAAGTTTTAGAACAAATGCTTTTTCATGTTTTTTTTTTAATATAATTGCAGATGAAAGGTACAAAAATATCTTATCACTAAGTAAGTAAGTGAAGTTAAAAGTTATTTAGGTCAGTTTTTTCTCTTCAGCAATTAGATGGAAGCTGAAGTTGAAGGATTAGAGCTCATCAATGCATGCATTGTTTCTTACAGACACCCGCTGACAAACACTACTTAGTTCTGTATTTTCTGTTGTCTGACTAATGCAGTGGTCTGACGTTTCTGCTTTTGTTTAGATACATAATGTGTCTATTATTGAGCAGAGCTGAATTTTTTGTTGTTAAATTAGGCTTTGCACACACAATGGATCAGTGTTGATATCTTCTAATTATACCAGGGTATTAATAACATGTTCAATTCATTTGAAAAAGTTTCACATACTCTTTTGTCGTATGTTCTTCTACTGTTATGCTTAATTTATGTATCTGAATACAACACAGGAATCTCCTCTTTTATTCCATATTAAGGAAAATCCAATACAATATATACAGAAAATATGAATATTATAGCCATTGTGTTGGCTCTTGTCACATACTATGATAACCATTGTGAGATGTTAAAGGCATTTTTGCCTGGATGAGGTAGTAATCCATTTTATCCTGGCCACAGAAATGATACTCGCAGTGCTGTAAACCACATCCTGTAAAGATTTGTCCCGTCACAGTCTAAGTGCTGGTTTGAGGCTCTTCACCAAGGAGGATTTCTGGTACTTAAACTTTTATTAAGCTCCGTCTCTCTCTCTCTTTATCTCTGTCTCTTCCTCTCTCCAGCGGAGTCTCTGAGTGTAACGTCCTCACCCAGAGGGGAGGTGACCCTGCAGGTGGGTTCCCCTCTCATCCTGACCTGTGAGGTGCTGGGGCTGCCATCTGAAGTGAACTCGGGCCTGCTGGTTCAGTGGATGAAGAGGGGATCTGCAAGCAGCGATGAAGTCGGCTCTGGGGGAGTTGAGGTACTGTGAATCTTAAGAGACTGCACAAAGCAGGACAGTGTAGAGGTGTTTATTGTGTGTATTTGTTTGCACATCTGCACACTGTTACTGAGGAGGATACTGATTTTTTGCACCTGAAGTAGACATACCGTACATTTTTCTTTCATCATCATCATTAATTCTTGTATAAACAAATACCCACAAATGAAGAAACTGATGAAACATTTTACATCAAAAGTGTAATATCATGCTGCATTGGAGTTAGCAAAGCATGTTAGTTTTTCATTTTCGGTTTCTTTATTCATCATTTTTTATCAGTGAAATCTGAGAATCAGCTTGCAGGGACATTAAATGTATTTATTGAGAAATAACAGATAGTAATTTGACAGGTAATGTGATTGTTAATTGCATGCACAGATAGGTAATCCATTCTGCGGTACTTTTACTTAAGCAAAGGATCGGAATATTACTTTCACCACTGAAAGTCACAATAACATAAAAAAAGATAGACGAGCAACTCCCGTGTTCTGTGAGGTAAAATGACTGGAATGGTTTTGAACAGAACAATATAATGGTAGTTTCTGGTTAAACAAAAAGGCTCTTATTCTGAAGCAAAAAGGTCGGTTTCTGTAGGAATCCTACTCAAAATGTTGTGAGACACAATCTGAACCTCAGTCAGTGGAAACCGTAACATATACCGTTCTTGCTCTGTAGTGGATCAATTGTGAAGATTTCTATTCCTAGAAATCATTTTTACACACTTTGCTGAAACTGATAACTAATTTCATCAGAAATGACAGATAAGTTTGAAATGTTTTCACGTGTGGTGCAGTCAAGTGCTGCAGGCAACGTTTTGACACATGACGTTTGAGAGTTGGCTGCCGAAAAGAAGCTTCTAGTAAATGGCTTAAAGTAAATCAAACCTCAATTTACAGTCTAATGCATACTGACACACTTTTATTTATTTATTTATTACTCTGTTATTTTCTTTTATGATAAGGTGGAGGTGGCCCGGATGAGCACGGATGGTGTTGTGAGCTGGGGGGACGACCTCAGCAGAGCCAGCGGCGGCTCTATGGAGAAAGTGGCGGAGGGGAGGTACTCTCTGAAGCTGTTCTCAGCCCGGCCCGGCGACACAGGGGTGTATCGGTGTGTGGTGAGTGTGTACGCTGGAAGGACAAACCCTGGCCCGTCTACGCCTGCGACACTCACCCAGAGGTCCGAGGGAGTCACCGTCAACCTGAAGACCAAAGGTGAGAGGCGTCAGGTCGTGTTCTCAGTGACACACGGGCTTCATTTCTAGCAGTGACTGTACATGTAGGGTAAACAGAAGGGTAATCATGAGTATTTGTATTTGGAAAAAATGTGAAACTGGAGTTTCTCTGTTGGATTTCTTTCCACTGCTAATTGCATTTTCTGTTCAGGCACTGTTGTATTGTTTTGGTCTGAGAAAGGATTTAACATTTTGGATTCACCGAGTGTCTTGGTGGCCCAGGGGTCTGGGCTGTGGGCCATTTGGCTGCGATGTGCTGGTTTCAAGTCTGCAACAGGACCTCAGAAACCGATCTGTCTCCTAGCTTCTTATGAATTTGTAAAAAAAAATCTAAAACATTCATAGCTGCCCCCAAAATCTCATTCATTTTGCTTTATATTTTATGAACAATGGGTTTACTGAAAAGGAAGAAATGATAAGTTACTGTTGTATTCCAATGATTCTCTGGCTCGAGGGTAGACTGCCAAAATTTGAATCTGTGGTTTGATTCTGTTCAAATTCCTCAGAAATGCATGTTAACGCAACTTATCTCAGATCACCTTATTAAGATGAGTGCTAAAAATGTAAAAAAAAACAAAAAACATCTGTTTTACCACAGATAAAAAATCACATGTTTCTGTTTTGTTCTTAAACTGACACATGTATGCATACATGATCCTATATGAACCACTTCCTCTCTCAGATGTGCTGGTTTCAGCTGTGGCTCAGCTCCCTCGAGGACCCCTGTTAAAAAGAGGCAGCACTATCACCCTCATCTGCAACGCCACCGTGACGACGACAGGTCCCGCCCAGGCTCAGGTGCACTGGCTGCGTTGGCCGATCCCTGAACTGGTTAGCAAGAAGGGAGAGAGTCCAGCAACCGATGTCGCTCCACCAGATCCCCCTGTTGTAGAAAAACCCACCCTCATAGCTGCTCTCATGTACAACGGTGTTGCAAATACCTACATCAACAGTAGTGAGATTAGCATCGACCGCCTGTCAGCTGTCAGCTACAGACTGAGAGTCCACACGGCCACTATGGATGATCAGGGCATGTATGCGTGTCACGCCGAGGCGTGGGGTCAGGACCCGCATGGAGGCTGGTACAACACGGGGGTCAAAACAGAGTCGAATGCAGTGACCGTCTACCTGTACGCCAGAGGTAAGTGTCTCCTACTAGTCCTTTTTTTTGTTTTATTTTAAATGATCTTTTATGTGTATAAATGTGAGCAACCACAAACAGACCTTGTTTACTAAAGCATTCATTGTCTGTTTGGGTTTCGAGCTGGCAGATCAAGCAGGGGGTCAAACTGGTGACCTTTGGTCAGTAAATGTTACTTGATTATTCCCAGCATTTGCTCTTGACCATGACATTTTAATTAGATCGATTCTTTCTCTTCCCTATCAGACTGCAGATCATGGTTCCTCTAGATTTACATTTCAAATATTTAGATATGCACTTCATCTCACTTGTTCCTCTCTGGAGTCACTTTGACTTGACTTTGAAAAATGACTGAAAGGATTAATCCAACTATCAGAAAAAGTTGAGTTGAAAAAAAATCAGCATTTGAAAGGAAAAATAGTGCAGCTTGGGTGCATTTTTATTTTTATGAAAATTAGTCCCATCCCACTGCAGTCTAAATATTCATAATGTTTAATGTATACATTAAAATGTGTGTCAAAAGTTAGTTGTTGACCTTTTTTCTGCTCAAAATAGAGGCCACAGCTCTGGATCCCATATAGAGGCTAAATGGACTGTTCTAGATAACTGAATCACTGGGGCAAACTGTGCTTTTAGTTTATCAAGCAGCACAGTCCATTAACTCGGTCGTGTGTGTGTGTGTGTGTGTGTGTGTGTGTTGTCGTGTGTGTGTGTGTGTGTGTGCTGTCTGTATTAATTTCAACCAAACTAATCAATTTACCCAAGGGCAACATTTTTTGACATTTACTCACCTGAAATTAGATTCTAATGAGAACAGGGTGGTGTATATCTATTGAATTAAAATTTCCACTCATCCTGTCGTATTTTCCTCATTTAAAGGAAACTAATTTTCAGTAATTAACACTAGTTCTCATGTCTTTATTTCCTCTTATTCCCCCAGCTGCTGACCTCCTCCTCATCCCTTTGGTTATCGGAGTCTCCTCTGCCTTGTTCGTGGGCATTGTCATCATCGCAGCGGTGACCTGTTGCTTCATGAGGCGCCTGGCGAGGGAACGAGCTCGAAAATAGGCATCCACTGTCGCTGTCTGTCTGAAATCTGATTGGTCACGAAGAGGCACAAAGAGACGATGTGCAATGAAATGGCCAAGAAACAACTTCAAGACCAAATGAATTGAAAAAGGACTTTGTCACCTTGTTAAGTTGATTGTCTGTGTTCTGACCTACCTGTTTAACAATCAATGCCAAAAGAGTCTGTTTTGTATTCTCTTGTATTTTTATAGCCATCTCTGAAAAACTGTATATTTTAGTGATTGCTGCTTCACACACCAGTAAGTAAATCCTAGATGTTTGGAGGCACCACTGAAGCCACAGCTCTCCACTCCTCAAGTGGGCAAAGGCCTAAAATGTTTTTGAAACCTGTCTCCATGTTAGTGTAACCCTCCTTTTTTTAATGATCCCATCTTATCTTTCTGTTCTTAACTGGAAAAGGGTCAAAATACAGAGGCAAGATTTTTGTGACATGATCAAAAGTGAAGAAGGTACTGCAGGTGTGTTTTGAGTCCCTCTCAGATTTGATTGTTGATCGTTAACAGTTGCTACCAAATGCTACTCAGCCTGTCAGATAATGGTACTAGTTTCATACAAAACAAAGAGCATTCTGTTTTCACAAATTGCTACTGTTCCGGTTGTTCCTTCATGAAACTGCATGTTTTTCTTTTAATACAAAAACCAACAATGTCTAAATGTATGTGCATGATTAAGCCTCTAGCACTGCCACTGACAGCCAGTCACATGAATGATGATGGGAGCCTCCAGAAACTTGATATGAGCAGGGACCTTCCTCTGCCTGCAGTCCAGCGCCAGTCTGCATGTAAACAATGTCTCTGTCTGTTACTTAATAAGGAAGGCGCTGGCTGGGAATTTTCTGATGCCAAGACCAATTGAGTACCAATTCTAAACACAAGCATTCCTCGCCAGAGAGGCATCACGCTGTGGTGAGGTTTCTATACGGACTTGTATAGATTTGACAAAGAGAAATGGAAGAGATGTCCATTATGCACTGACTGAAATATGTAAATACTCTATGGAGTTTAGCTGTTTTATTTTTCTTAATGTAAGTAAGACTGTGCTGTAGCGCCATGTTTGTCTTTGACAAAGCACCTGTGTTTAACATTCTGCAGCAGTCTCCTTCTGCTCTTTTGAAGCACTTGGACAAAAAATGGGACTGGGACCAAAGCCCCTCGGTGTTCTTCTTTTACTTGATTTTGTTCCAGCTGAAAAGTCATTTCTTTGCTGTACTTTTGAGTGTTCTGTTCTTTCTTTTTGTGCAAAGTAATGGTTCCTCTGCTCTTGTCAAGTGACTGAGATACAAAAACAGTACTGTGAAAAAGAAATCCCTGTTTGTTAGAGTGACAGGAAAACTGTTGTGTTTCACACTGTTTAGGATACTTTCACCCTGAGGTGAAAATTTTCTAAGCACAGCAGTCATATGACCAGATAGTTTAGTGAAGTCTCACTATAGTCGTCATCATAGCGATCATGTGGTTAAGGCCACACATTTCTGCTGCCAAGACCTATTATGACTATAGCCCCTGCTGCTAGCCCGCAGAAATCTGTTGGACAGATTTACTGTGTCTGCGCACTTAAAATGAGTGAAATCTATCCTCCTCTTCCTGCTGAAAGTAACACTTAAGAAAAGTTTGGTCGTGTGAGTGTGGCCACATTGTGTGATTTAAGGTTAGATACATGTTCGTGGAAAGGAGGAGGAAAGTAAAATTTGTTGTTATCCAGCTTGCGGCTCTCTTGTTGAAATTATTTCAGGTCTTTTTTTTTTTTTTTTGGCTTTTCTAAATTTGCTTGCACTGAGCTATACTTTACTGTCTCGGTCTCTCTTTACTGTCTGTCTCTGTGTCCTGGTTGGTGTTCGCTGTGAGAGTCCCTGTAAATCTGGCCTGTCCCTCCTAACCTGTGCTCCCTAAACCCTGATTATAAATGTTGTTCACGAACATTAGGGAATAAAATCACAGCTCTGCTCGCTTCCTGAGCCACTTTGTTCCAGATCAACTACTCAAAGCTGATTTTTTTTTTTTTTCCCCAACATACCCACCCCACTATATGATTACACACGCACACAGAGATGCACGTGCTCTCAGCAGCAGCAGCAGCAGGACAGTACTGGCTGGCTGGCATTTCAGATGAAAGTGAATGAGTATCTGCGTGTTCGTCTCTAATCCGCGTTTATGGCTGCAGTGTGTCCTGCTGCCCTTCCCCCCTCTCTGTGTGTCTGTCAGTCGGTGTGGCTCAGTTCCCTGCGAATTACAGCCAGCTGTAAGAAGCGTAGCTCATAGCATGCAAAGTACAAAAACTGTCTAAGTTGTGCTTTTGTTTAAAAATGTGTTTACACCCTTTCATGAAAATGTTATGTTTTGTTTGGATTGTTCACTCATGCTTAAATACCACTGCTCCTGAATGCATCTTGCTGCCGATGAAATGTATAAAGGCGGGTTGTTGCTCAGTCTGTCTCTTATGGTGCTTTGGTAAACCTGCCGGTTGATAAAACCAATAAACCACTCTGGATTTATTATGTCACTCTGGTCTTATTTGTTCCTTCAACCTGAAAATGTTCATGTCAGAGGCCACTGGAGACATTTTGAGGTATTGCAGGACATTCTGTGGGGAGGAAAAGTAATCCAATCTGTCTGAAGAAGTATTCATGTGCTAGCTGAGCATATTTTCCATCTATATTGAACGAAAAAGCCAAAATATTTCTTGTGGTTGCTGCAATTCCCAAGCTAGAACCAGCCAAGCAGAGGCTTGTATTTCAGCTCAAGCTGACTCTCAGCACTTTGTGATGCAGACAACATTAAACATTCTGTCTTATGTGGTAACAATAAGGTTTACGTTTGTTTGACGATTGAAAAACTATTATTTTTATTTATCAGTATTAAATGAATTTATTTTATATGGCTCATGCTGAGTTGAGAAATTCCAGATGAAATAAAAACAACTTTCTCATCCAGACCAAAACTGGTTTAAACTGCCCTGTCATGTGACAGGGAGCGCTGCACAGTAGAGTTAAACATGCATTTCTACGGGCTGCATTTCCTGCGCAATAACTCATATGACAGCTTTTACTATATTCATTTATTGTGTAATTGGTCCATTAATCAAGTCATTTAGACTGCATCACAGCTGTAGATTCAATTAACAAATGACTGAAAACATCTTCTCTACCGTTATTTTACCGACCAAGTATTTCTGAATGTGTTTCAGTTTTCAATTCCATCAATTAAACACTTACAAAGCAAAATTAAAGCTGTAGTAACCAATATTCTATATTAAAAATGGAACAAGTGATTGTGTAGGGAGTTATTCTTAGTGACAAATCCACAGATAGTTATCACCTGACTTTGCAGTCCCCTCAGCTCCACAGAGCATTTTATATAGAGGTAGATTTGTTTCAACATTATTTGTGTGAACAGATTAACAATCCATGCATAAATGTGTAATCTGTGAATATAAAACACCTTCCACAAATACAAAAAATAATATTGCAAATTCACATAAATATCTTGCAAATATAAAACAGATTTGCAAATACACAAACAAATTCCACAAATAAATCAATTATCTGTGAATGCATTCAATTAATTTTAAAAATAAATGAAAAGCGTTTGTGAATATCTTCCTAACATTTACAACTTTCAAAAAGACATTTGTGAATCAATTTTCTATTTGTAATGCAAAAAAGCATTTGTGGATCTCAATTCTACAGTTGTGGATTTCAATTTTGCACACACAGAGTTTTGAAAATAACGTTCCACCAGTCTGAACCAAAATTGACATGTATTACTCAGTCACTTTCTATACTAAACTGTAATGTTTTTGTGCCTTTTTATAATATGACTATGACTTACTATGCTATGACATTTTTATGCCTTATTATACTATGACTTTTTATGACATTTTTATGCCTTACTATACAATGACATTTTTAAGCCTTACTGTACTATGACGTTTTTATGATATTTTTATGCCTTACTATACTATGACATTTTTATGCCTTACTATACTATGACGTTTAATGACTTTTTATGCCTATGATGTTTTTATGCCTTACTATACTATAACGTTTTTATAACTTTTTATGCCTTACTATACTATGACGTTTTTATGACATTTTATGCCTTACTATACTATGACATTTTTATGCCTTACTATACTGTGACTTTTTTATTGGATTTTTATGCCTTACTATACTATGACGTTTTTATGCCGTACTATACTATTACATTTTTTGCCTTATTATACTATGACATTTTTATGGAATTTTTGTGCCTTACTATACTATGACATTTTACGACATTATTATGCCTTACTATACTATGAAGTTTTTATGACATTTTTATGCCTTACTCTACTATGCTGTTTTTATGGCATTTTTATGCCTTACTATACTATGACGTTTTTATGACATTTTTATGCCTTACTATACTATGACGTTTTTATGAAGTTTTTTTGCCTCACTATACTATGACATTTCTATTCCTTACTATACTATTACATTTTTTTGCCTTATTATGCTATGACATTTTTATGGAATTTTTGTGCCTTACTATACTATGACGTTTTTATGACATTTTTATGCCTTACTATACTATGATATTTTTGTGCTTTATTATACTATGAAATTTTGATGACTTTTTGTGCCTTACTATACTATGACATTTTATGACATTTTTATGCATTACTATACTATGATGTTTTTATGAC